CCCCAAAACCCCAAAACCCCGTTAGTTAAAATTCATAATTATAGTAGAAAAGCTAATTATAATTTGGTAAGAATTTTAAAAGTCATAATATAAATGAGTTTAAACGATATTAGAAGACCATCCGAAATGAGATAAAACATGTAAGTGAATCTTGAAAATAAAAAACAACATTTTCTAATTATGATGGCAAAATAGGAACCCTTAGAAAATGGCAGAAATGGCAAAGTAACAAAGACAGCAAATGCAATCTTAGTTATCTAATAATTCTAATTCGAATTTAGCAACCCCAGCAAATTAACCAATGGCTAAAACCCCATCACTAAACTTAGAAACAATCCTAGATAATGACTCTCAAGACAATGAAGAATCAGTGTTTGGAGTGCCTATCTCACTCTAATAAGATAATTCTCAAGTGTATTATCAAGAGTGGATGGACAAATAAGGTATTACCTCTCTAATGTAGATAACACCCGAGACTTGGAAAAATATTGCCTACCCAGTAATCTAAGCAGTGAAACTACTGATCAATTCAAATGTCCAAGGATTCTAAAGGACTCATGATATAACTTTGTAAAATGACACCACAAATAAAAAAGTGCAGCAATAGATAAGGAAGATAGAAAAAGAGATGAGTAAGAAAGAGGATCAATATGATGCTTAATTTGACAGACTTGAGAAGAATATGACTTAGGCTTTTAACAAATTCAGAGTCGATTGTGAAAATCAAATTTAGAAATCTGAAATTAGAATTGAGGAGGGATATCATGAGATGAGGAAATAAATGGAAGATTTCAAGGATAAGCTTTCCAGAGTTGACGAGACAGATTATGTCAAAGCTTGGGTTTAATCAGAAATTAATATGGCTAAAGCTGATCTATCAATGAGATTGGAAAGACTACACAGTAATCAGCTGACTGAAATAGACAAGATTATGCAGAATCACTTGACAGTGCCAGACGTGATAGGCCCTAAATGTGAATTTAAGACTCTTCCTAGCTACATTGCTAATTTAAACAAAACAAGAAATACTATGCTTAATGAACTTGAGCAAAAGCACCAGGAAGTTAAGATTTCAGTCTATGAGTTGAGCCAGCATCTGGATGACTTAATTGAGCATTAGATAAAAGAGACCCTTAACAAACTGCAAGAGAAAGACTAAGTTATTCAGGAGTACTTGAAGAATCTAGAGAAGAAGACATTTGTAGAATAACTCCCGTCACTCAGAAAGCAGCTGCATGAACTCGAAGAAGAGGTAGAGAGATAAAGGATAGATCATAAAGTCAAAATTGAATTGCAAAATAATCATGTACAACAGATCACTTATGAACTAGATAAACTAAATGTGTAACTGAAATACAATAAAGATGAGATTGACTAGAAAAAGAATGAAAGTATGATGTATACTTAGGAAGTTGCTAGATAAATAAGGGACAACGTCTTCTCTCTGACAAAAGGCTTAGATCAGCAAAAGCAGGATCTCTAGGATAAAGTCAGAAGTCTCTAGATTTTGCTAGACAAAAGTGAGAAGAAAATTCTCAAGCAATAGTTAGTATTGTCTGACAAACTTGAGTTAATAACTGGCTAGTCAGTACATCTCTTTTCAGAGGCAGCCACACCTTACGAGGATCATCACAGAGAGCTAAACCCCACATACATCTAGGAGTAGACAATCTAGAATTCTTTAGAAAATTCAGTTGAGAATATTCAGGATGTAAATCCTAATGGAGAAATTATGATTGATCCTATAGATGAAGGTAAAAGTCAAAAAAAATCCTAAACTATTCAACAGTCTAAGTCGCTTTCTTCATCTAAGCATAAGCAGTAAACAGAAAGAATGTCCTAATAGATGTTAAATTAAATTAATAACGGCTATGGCTCTACTTTAGGTGATTTTGACATTGAGAGGGATCAAAATAAGAGATCAGATTTGATAAGAGTTGAATAACAAAGACCAGATCTTAATGAGAGTCCTCCATTAGATTATGATTAATAAGATGGTCTTGTGATATAAAGGGAAACTGTTTAAAATAATTACGATGATAATAAAAAGAGCCAATAATCTCGAGTCGGATCTGAGAGTATGCAGATTGATCAGCAAATAAATCAAAATCTCTTGCAAAGCTCATAAATTGACAAGCAAATGGAAAAAATAGATTCTGTGTTTTAGGAGACAAAATATGCCTAGTCATTTGAACAGAATCAAGAAAATAGAGCTTAAAGTAGTATGCTATCTAAAAAGAATATGGAAGAAGCTTCATAAATTGCTTATAGAACAATGGATTAGCCATTTAACAAGCAAACTAATCAAACAGGTGTAACTTTCAAGCCTTCACCCTCAGACAAAGAAAGCAAGGAACCGAGCTACAGGGAAAAAACCAAATCAAACTTAAAAGTAAACACAGGAAGGACAAGCAATGATAATAACTCAAAACCATCAGCAGGTGGATCAGTTAGTAAAATACTGAGTAGAGTTGATGACTTGGAAGTTATGATGGCCGATTGTATGAGAATTGTGACTGAAATATTAGAAGCAGTCAAGGATTCTAAAATTCCGTCATTAGCCAGACTTTCAAACTTGGCTAATAGCAAAATTCAAGAAAAATCTCCAACTGATTTTAAAACTTCAAATGGTGATAAGCAATCACCTAGCACCAATCCTCACATCTCAGCCCTAAAACTATAGAGCTTTAAAGAGTATTTCTAAAAGATGGTTGAATCTAGCAATACTAGACAACTTGATATTAAATTGCTTGAAAATGCAGGTGGTACTGACCCTGAAAGAGTAAATAATAATACTCCTTAGGTAAAGCCCTCAGGATTCTAGTTTAACTAGCCTAATCATCATAAAATGATTGGAAAAAACAAGATTCATTCTTAGATGAACGCTAACTCAGCTGAGCTTTTAGAAACAAATCAGCCTAATAAAAACTTGCAATCTCAGGGAATTAAGGCTAGATTCATTAAAGAGACGCCAAAACATCCTAAATATATGACTCTTGATCAGTAATCTTTATCTATTGTTCTTGAGGACAAAAAGAGGTTGGAAAATGAGAATAATTTTGATGATAATGCTAGGATGATTGCAGAGTTATCCAATTCTCAACTGGGAAATGTTACCTAAGGACAAAAGAGAATTACAAATAAGATAATTAGTTAGTTGAATGGAAGCAATTCTAAGGAATTGTTATAAACTTTTGACAGTGAAGCTTAAAATCTTGCTCATGAAGGCAGTATTTAGGACTTGAGAAAAGATATTCACGACAGTCTTACAAACAATAGAAAATCAAGCAGAGGAGGCTCATCCCAGAAAGCAGAGAGACTAGAATAAAAGCTACCACCATTGATGGCAGGGTAAGTTTAAGTTGATGGCGAGACTTTCAACAAGCAACTATTAGAATAGCAACTAAGAGCCAAGAGAATTAGAGAGCATGCTTACTAAACTGCAAATAACTCACCTATTAGAGGAAAAATGCCAGAAATTAAACCCAAGCAAAAGCCTATTGCAGTAAAATATGAGGAGATGAATGGAATTGATAAGACTACAGTTCCAAGTTCATCAATGAAAACTGGAAGAAGAACAATTCTTTGAAAATATTCTAACAAGGAATCAAAGATTATTACCTCGATAATTATATTAAAATCTTCACTAAATTTAATTGTATTTATTTCATAATTATTGAACTTAAATTCATTTCTATAGGGGTTTTGGGGTTTTGGGGTTTTGGGG